CCCACTTTGGGATCTGATCTGTTAGAATCTGTTGTTTAGCTGCAGATTTCTGACTGGAAGCTCATTCAGTGACCTTTCCCGTTTCTCTGGTTCCCGTCTGTCTAGACTTTACAGCCAGAGGCAAAAAAAGACCCAGAAGAAAGTTGTGAGAAAAACTAAAATTACAGAGCAGATGAGAAGCCTTGAGGAGCCGCCTCGGACTCGGCTCTGCTCTGCACACGATGCGGAGCTGCAAATTGGATGGTGAGGGATGTGGTCTGCATGCTGCTCTGTGTTGCTACTGGATCAGGGTCGGCGTGACATGAGCAGAACCGAAGCACAGCGAGCATCAGGTGTCATTTTGGTTTGTTTTACAATAACTCAGGTTCATTTTTTGGTTTGGCACATTTATGACAGATTCTGATGTGAAAACACAGACTAGATCACAGCTGTCACAATAACTGGATGATAAATCGTATCAAAAATTATTGGGATAAATGAGAATATTGTCATTTTACAATTATAATGGCATAATGATGCAAGTTTTCCCTCTCAGAAACTGAAGTTTCATTTTGCGAAAAAGACTCGGCATTAGAACCAGAAGATATTTCTGAAATCTGACGATATTAAATATCAGAATGGAAATTATCAAGCTCATTTCATAAATTTATTAATTGCTTATTGAAATAAAAAACTTAAGATGAAATAGAAATAAATACAAGATACTGTTGATACCCACATTAGTTTCTCTTATAGATATTTGAGTCCAGAAATCAGACGATTCCTCCAGAAACAAAAGCGAACCCGATCCACAGCTTCAGAGCTGAAGTTGGTGTTTCAGGTGGGAGTTAATTGAACGATGCGCCGGGTGTAAAGCTGCCATCATGCGACTGACGGCGCTGCAGAATGAACTGCATGGCTGCCATTCTGCTGCTTTAAAGTCTCCAACCTGAAGTGACTCATTCTCACTGCTCCACTATCAGATTCTCTCTGGGCACCGGAGTGAGTCAGCCTCTCCTCTGCTGCTCTAATAACTCCTCTTCTTTTATTCAGAAAGAAGAAGCAGAGTTAAAACTGTGATGGTGCCACAGAGGAGTCTTTATTCGCTGAGGTTTGGATGAAATCTCGTTTAAATGGACGACTCTCAGTCATTAGTCCATTTGATTCAACAGGAGACAAACAGCAGGGAAGGATTTCCATAAAAAGCTGTGATTTGTTTCATTTTGTGCTTAAATATCAGAAGCTAATTTCAGATTCAAATGAACACTCAACGCTCTGCACAGCAAGAGTCCGTGTGTGTGTGTGTGTCAGGTTTCTTCATACTGTGTTTTCATTCTGGAAAAACAACCAAATTTATTCGCCTTTTCTATCAAGTGATATTCACTCAATAACTCATGTAAAAAATGCAGTTTAGAATAGCAAAGCTAATAAGTGATCAATAATTCATACTCTGTCTGGTTTTGTTTGTCTGGTTTTGTTTGTTCATTTGGGTTTAAACAAACCCAAATGACACCTGATGCTCGCTGTGCTTCGGTTCTGTAATTTGTAATTCAGAGGTTAAATGTTCCTCATGAGCAGAAGAAAGTTTTGCTCCTGGATTTCACAATGAAAATGATAAAGTGTTTGTCTCAAACCATTTTAATTAAAGGAACACCTTTATAAATAAAGGTTAAAATAAAACATGCTAACACATGACATCACCCTGTTCAGTGACTCAACACCAGGGGATTTTAATACTAACTCAGTTGAAGGTTCAACGCTGTTTTTTTCTGATGGTTTTATTTTATTTTATTTTTACTCATTAATAGATATGATTTCATATCTAACTGAATAAATTACTTTCCTCAAAAACACTCAAGTAAAACTAAAATTTCAGGTTTTCTGAGCACCTTAAAGTAAAAAGTACAAACATATCGTGCTTAATTACAGTAAATGCAACTAGTTACTTTTCACCCCAATAGAAACCAGATAAGATCAAATGAAGTCCATGATTAATAAACAATAACAAATAAAAAAAATCATCTCTACATAAAATAGACCAAAGGTTTGATGAGATTTAAATGATTTGTTTCTGGTTTAATCAGATAAACCATTTAGAATGAAAGAAGCCATAAAATGCATTCCAGTTTCAGAAAAATCTCTGTAAATGTTTAACTGTGTGCTCCTAATGCTGAATATGAAAACATGTTTCTGTGATGAAAACTCATGTTGATCTCATCTGGACGGTTCAGTTCCTCCTAAATGTGTCTGGCCCTTTAAATCTGCAGCTCAACAACTCGATGAACTCCAAGCAGATATGATGCAATAAGATACAAGACGCTTTAATTTAAATAGAAGACAGAAAGTGCAAATATTTTAGACCTACAAAGCAGATCTGGGATCATAAACTCTAACAGAAACTATAGATTATAAGTATTTATGAGCCTGGCAGGTGGGATTTTTGGAATATTTCTGGAGACTTAATGAAAAGTAGTCAAAGTATTTGCTTGCCAACTGGATGAATAGGTAATGAACTCATTGATGTCCAAATAGCTGCCTTCACAAAAAGATCCATAAATACTGAAACCTTCCCCAGATAAATAGTGTAACAAAGCAAATAAATAAGCAGATTTCACATGCAGTAAATTCTAAAATTGCAATCTAGATAAAAAGCTTTTAAAACAGAACGTTCGTTTAAAGAATCAGTCTAAAATTGTGGAAGGGAAAATCTGCAACCTGCAGTGACTCTGAGTTTTTGAATCAATCTCACCGTAAAGTGCCTCGGGTTACAGAGCAAATAAAATCCGGCTGAGAATTACCTGCAGTATATATCCAATTTTATGTAACATGTTTTACTTCCCCTGAAGGGAAAAGGTGTAATAGATCTATAGAAATGCCTTTTTCATTGCTGATAGTGGTGAAGGATGGCAGGATGAGCCAGAGGTTGCAGGCGTGCAGCCGGGTATTTGTTTGTTGGGTCTGTTTTAGCTCTTTTCCCTTCGGTCCCTTCAGGATCTTATGTATGTTTCTGACTTTCTGGAGGTTATTTTGGTTGCAGAGTGGAAAAAATAAGAAGTTAGTGTCTAGTGTGCAGCCCTACAATGGCCTGGTTTCATATCAATGGTGGATTCAGCCTTTTGCCTGTTGGCTGCATGAAAAGGACACTTATGGAGACATTAGAGAAAAATTAAACATTAATATGCATAATATTAATGTTTTACTACATCACTACATTTTGATGCATTTACATTTTGCAGTATTTGTTAGTTTAAATAACAAATACTGCAAAGGTAGAGACATTGTCCACTCTCTTTCTTCACGTTCAGCAGTTTTCGGGTGAAATTAATGCTAAAAGTTGCTCTGACTTTGATTTCCACCACAAACCCATCAGATAATCAGTCACAGCACACCACGTTGTCTCTCTTCCCCCAAGAATCGCTCTCCCCCGTTGGATCTAACTTTGACTAATGGAGCCCAAAACAAATTGGCAGATGATTCACAGCCATGTTGTGAAAGCAATAAGGAACTCCACTCATCTGCACATCAAACCTCACACACACGCAGAGAGAAGAGAGACGTTTTCCTCCCAGGTTTGGCTGCTGACTACAGGACAGCTGAACTCTGTCCGCCGGCGTTTTCCTCCTCTAACTCATTTCGATAATGATGTTAAATGTGAGCCGAAGACCGAGAAGACAAATGATTTTTCTGGGATCTGGAGAACAAGGAGGGCATTGAGTGCCTTCGCGTTTTCCTAGTTTTCACAACTCTAAAGCAAAATAATAAAAAATATGTTTCCTTTGGTATTCTGATGTTCTTTTGGTACTTTTTGAAAGGCAGAATTGAATGTAAGAGGCGTATTTTGAGAGCAGATTAATGGAAGTGAAGCTGCAAAAGAAACATGCAGCCTTTTAGTGTTTTCTGCCTCTGAATTCAAAGAAAAGTAACATTTTGGTTGAAGTGGGATAATTTAAAATTGAACAAAAATCAAAGTTAGAAAAAAATGACAGAAAAAGTAAAGCATCACAAAGTGCAAACTAAACAAAAAGCAGGTCTTAATTAAAAAATCTTAAGTCTGCTACTGTAATTTAAATCTGAAGAAATAAAAGCAACGATTTATGTGCTTTTCATACTAAATACAACTGGATGTTATTTGTGCAATAAGATGTTATATTAATGCATAATTTCTCTATCAGGTTGTGTGTCAGAATAGTAATAAAAGGACTGGTGCTAAACCAGAGCCCTGAGGGTCTCCATGGAGACGGCTGAGCCAATCTCCTCTGATCTTATTGACTGAAACCCTCAAAGTTATTTGGAAACTAAAAAGCTGATCAGTTTGAAGATGAACCAGATCACTCTCTGGGTTCATGAGGTCAAACTAATTTTAACGTTCTGTAAAATGAACAAAACAAAACTAGGACTGGATTCTCCACAGTTTGAAACCATAAAGTCTAACTTGATGTTGCCACACTGCAAAAACATCAAATCTTACCAAGTATTTGTTTCTAGTGCAAATATTTTAGTACACTTGAAATAAAACAAAACTAACTTATCAGTAACTTTTCCGGAATTAACAGGAGCTTGTTTGAAGTCAATCAATATTTCATCAATATTGATGAAAAAGTTCTAGTTTCACTGACAGATTATTATTTGACTCATAACACATTTCCCCCATGTTTTAAGTAAAATAATCTGATAATTGAACTAGAACCTTTTCATCAATATCAAGAAATGATGGGCTTACAAAACCTTATATATTTTCACTAAATACTAGACCAAAAATATTAAGATTTTGTAATTTTACTGTGCAGCAGAACTGTCTCAGTGAAATACAAAGCCTGACTGAAAATGATCAGAAATACTTCTTTTTTTATCCAAAATGAATTAATCATTGATTTAGGATCTCGTCCAAATCAAGTTTAGTTAGCGAAACAAACTTCCATAACAACATCATCATCTGTGGAGGACAGCTGCAGTTTCTGCTTCTCGTTCTGGACACGTTTCACAGCCTCAGTCAGACGCCGTGTGGTCATGCAGCTTCTTACCTGCAGCCCCTCGATGGCCAGCCGCAGCATGCTGGGGGTCAGCTTGGAGGCCTGCTTGAAGGTGAAGTTGCTCCAGTCGATGATGAGGATGAAGCCGTTCACCTGCAGCTCCGGGTCTTCGATCATGGACTCCAGAGACAGCAGGATGGCTCGCAGGATGTCCACAAATGTGTATCTGAAGGAAACATGACAAGGTTTTCTCTTTTCTTTGAAGTAAAACATGGATGTTTCTACACATAACTCAGATTGTTTTCATCAGTTCTGCCTTTCAGATCCATAATTCCTGGCAGGTTTCTGTGTTTCTGTTTTCTGTGTAGCTAACGCTGTAGCCGACCTTAAGGCTTTAAATCTGGCTGCATGTTTCATGGCTCTTTGGTTATTGCCTCTCAGTTATAAGGTCACTGGTTCCATGCATGTGGCATCAGGTCAATTGACCAGTGCAAACTGCCCTGAGGTGTTGAGTGCTGAAGTTTCCACAGTTCCAGTCCATTCACAGTTTGGGTTCAATACAGATATCCAGTATTTTATTGTGTTGTTATGCAGTAAGACACACAGAAAAGTGCAAAACAGTTTTATGAGGGAAAATGATGCATGGTTTTAAATTTCTTTCAACAAACATTCATATTCAGACTTTATGAGCCGACAGTTTGTAGGAAAACATTTTAATGCAATTTTAGCTCCACCTTTGCACATCTGGAAAATGAAGTTTTTCCTTCTTCTGTGCAAAAGAATCAGGTTAGATTACATGGAGAGTGACTCTGAATATCAAGTTCAAAGTTTTACCATTGAATCTTTATTACATTTAGGTCTGGACTTTGATTAGGCCATTCAAACACCTTTGATATAAATTTTCATTGTAGCACAGGATATTTGTTTCCAGGTTTTCAGTCAGGACTACTTGGCTTCTAACACTCCAAGTCCAATAATGGTATCCACAGCATAATACTGCCACCACCATGTTTCACTCACTGGTGATTTGCAGAGTCGGTGGTCTTCCTCAGCGTTCTGATTGCTAACATGTAGTATCATCTGACCAAAATATTATCTTCCTCATTCTCTGTCTTTATGCTTTTTCTTGCTACTTTCTCAAAAACATTTGTGGGCTAATAGTCACATTTTTCCAACTTTTAGTTAGCTTACTCTTATTTACTTCAGAAATGTTAATCAGTTTGTGTACAAAAACCAAATAAGATCCACATAAATTTATATTTTTAGGATCACAATGTGGATCAGTTCAAGAGGTACAGCTGGAGAGGCCTGGCTAAATTCACAGCTAATGTAGCTTCCTGCTCAGTTTGATTTGCTTTTCAGTCATGTTGGATCTTAAACCTTAATTGCCAGTAATGAAGGCTCCTGCATGTGGCTCCTGCAGAAATCAGCTATATAAGTTGGTGCCTCTGTGGATCCTTGAGGATTTTCATCCAGCTGATGCTTCAGATTCGTCTGCTGCTCAGTTACCATGACATCATCTTATCCTTTCATCTCTTGGTTGCATCATGAAACTAAATCATTGTACAGAATCTAAATCCATTTTTTGCAATAGAATCTCCATAATTAACAGTAATAATATACATTTTTATTGATTTGTGCATATATTTAACACTAGGCAGACTGACACAGCGATCAATCTGTTACTAAAACTCTGATTATTTAAACACTAACCAGGCCTGATCCCTTTTTAAAGCCAAACAAAATCAGGTTCTGACCCGACATTTGCCTTTAACCTCAACCTAGATGCTAATCCGGACCAAATCACGGAGCAGCCTGCGCATTTCTGGGAAAATGTGGGAAAAACAAGGAGAAAAAGAAAGAGAATGACACAGCAATATTGTATAAATAATAAATTAGAACAAATTTATGCAAATTAATGATTGATTCAATGTAGTTTCAAACTAATGTATTCAATAAAACCCATCAATACAGGTCTTAAGATAAATGTTGATTAAGCAATACCACAGTAGCAGCTTTCTTACCCTTTGAAAAACCTACATGGTTGAACTTTTTAAATATTCATAATTATAATATTATTTTTACTATCAACAGTTTCTGGATGAAACCAGTGATGTCCAGTGGGCCTTCAGGTGATTTATGGTTCCCCATCGAGCTCAAAGCAGGTGATCATGGTGTGTAAAAGCAGGCCTGCTTCCTCTCAAAGGATAATGAGATAACGAGACTTCAGTCCAGCAGCTGGTCGATCCGTCAAGCTGCAATCAGGCCCAGAGCTGCTTTGAGCATCCAAACATGCTGACATGCAAAAAGGGGATTGTTGGTTGTAACTCGCCTGCTTTTTCAACCAATTAACAAGCAGATATGTGCAACACGTAGAATTAGTTGTATCAATAGGTTTTTAGCAAACCTATTGATTTGAAAAGTGCAAACATCAATAAAATGCCAGTTTTTTTATGTAAGAAAAATAAAGCTATGACCTTTTGTTCCTTTCATGTGACATGCATGATGTGCAATTCCACTAAAAAACAAGAAACAAATGTCAAAAATGAAAAAAGTTTCTATAACCTGGTTGGAAAGTATAAAAAACCTTAAACTGATACATTTAACTGTTTTTACCAACCTGCTGCATTCTACCTGTAAAGAGTTTTACAAATGAATTAGATGTTCTTATGTTCTAGTTTGGGCTTTTCTAAAACTCAATAGTTTGACTCAATATTAAACTGAAAAAAAAAACATACATGAATCAAGATCCAACAAAGAGTTTTCAGTTTTAGAAGAATTACTCCTGATTTGAAAAGGGAAATACCAGAAATGACTCAACATCTACTTCACTTTGATCTTTAAGTCAAAAACTAATACAAAGCCATGAAGCCAACTGGGTTAAATAACTAGTTACATTTACTTGAGTAACTTCTAGAGTATTTTTATTGCTTTGTACTTTTTACTTTTACTTGAATCATGAAGTGTTGCTGCTCTTACTTGTGTAAATCTCTGAACTCGAACTTCACTGAATGAAGAACAAACATGTTTCATCCAAACATTCACCAAAGACACACCTGCAGTTTTTGTTAAACTTTCATAAGTTTTACATTGAAAGGACATGATTTTTTTTCTTTGCTTGATTTTGTAATTATATTATTTATGTGAACTATTTTCATTTTGGTTTCTAAAATACCAATATTTCCACACAACTTCAATTTTTACATATTAAATGATTGTTTTGATCATTTAAATTTCAGAACATGAGTCGCCTTTTTACAAAACCCTTTTCAGTCATTTCTTGCATGATGTTTAAATGTTTAAAAACACGCTGAAGTGGTTCTGCTCTTACTTGAGTTAAATCTCTGGGGACTCTGTCGTCTCTGTTAAACTGTCCAAACATATTAGTCCATTTTCTGTCGTTAATGACCCGTTTTACAATGACTGTATCTAATATTTCACAGCTGTTTGGAGCAGGTTGCTGCAGTGCTTCCTAATGACTGAGTGGTGCTGAACGGACAGCTCCTCCAGCCTCACTCATTCATTTCTAAGGTTTCACAAACACAGATGTATTTTCAACGTTTTCGGCCCTAATTTCATAAAAAAACAACAACAAAAAAACTTTTCTCTCACCTGCTCTGGTCCCAGTTGGCTGCAAACAGGACCAGGATCTTCCTGCCGTATTTGTCCAGATTGGACAGGACTCCCGGGAAGCCGTCCTTCAGAGCCTGCTTGATGCCCGGGTCGGTGGCCTTCAGGTTCTTGAACATGTCCAGGTTCTGCTGCCGGTACTCGAAGTACTGTGCCAGCAGCCGAAACGCCTCAAAGTGGTTGAATTTCCTCGCCCTGAGGAATCTGAGGATGAAGGCGTCGTCTGTCCTGAGGAAGCCGATGTCCGGCCGGGTGATGATCATGTCCCGGACCTCCTGGATGTCCTGGTGGAGAGTCTCCGGGTTTTCCTTCAGCTCCACCTTGGCCTTCTCCAGGGTCTCCGGAGAGAGGCCAGCCTGCAGGTGAGTCATCGTTTGCAACAGCTGTCCCTCCGCGGGGGGTTCCGGCCAACCAGCTGAGGAATCGGTTAGCAACAGGGCAGGGAAGTGGACGGAGAGCGTTTAGTGATCAGTGGCTGACTTCAGATGGAGGCCTGCTGCTCTGAACACGTAATCCACCCTGAACTGCCACAGACGCCGCCGCTGCTCTCATTCTGTGATGCATTTTCTACATATGGGCCACTCACTTTTACGCACACAATCATTGTTTTTTTTTTTGTTGTTGTTTATTTTAACAAGATTTGAACTTTATTAGAATTTCCCAGCGTGCAGATGACGAAGCGACGTCCGCCGGGGCTTCAGGCTGCACCAACCTGCTGCTGATCCGGGTGGCCTGAGCGACAGCCGCTCGCCTCCATGTCAAAGCCGCTCCGCGCTTTCTCTCCCGATCTGTGACTCACTGACGACGGCAGCATCCCCGTCTCCCCGAGCGTCGCTCGAAGCGGCCGGACAATGCGGCACGACCCTGCAGCCGCTGCTACGTGAACACCAGCAGACCTCCGCCTTCAAAGCGCGTCTCCATCCGCGGACCTCCTGCGAGCTGCTGCTGCTGGATGAATCCGCTGTTCAAAGCGTAAATCCGCCGCTTATTCTGGGAGTGAAAGTGAAAGGCAACAGAAGGGGAGGCGTCCGGTAGTGTACAGGTGTCCCGTGAGGTTTTGCCCCCCTCCTGCCTCCGGTTGCTGCTGTTTGGAGAGGGGTGGGGTGGATGAGGTGGGGGATTACCGTCTGTTCGCTGGGAAAGTGACTGACATCCAGAGTCTCTGCTCGGTGTGTGGATACCACCGGCGGGGGGGGATGGAAGGGAAGGGAGGAGGTGGGAGGAGGGGGAGGAGTGAGAGATGAAAAGACGAGAGAGAGAGAGAGAGAGAGAGAGAGAGAGAGAGAGAGAGAGAGAGAGATGCCGAAACGGGATGCAAGGAGAAAGAGAGGACGAGGTTTGAGAGGCAGCTTAGCTAGATAGAGGATGGAGAATGAATAAAAAAATAATAATCATAATTTAGATCGTAAAATAAAGCTAAAACTAATGGACTATAGGCAACATTTGTGGCCCTTTCTCACCTTTCTTTGACCCAGTTATGTTTGAGTCTTTATATTCTCCTGCTTAAAGTTTTATGCATTCATCTTTTAAAATACATTAATGCATTATTTGCTAAGTGCTGCTAACTACAGCCTTAGATAATATTCACTGCACTGAAACTTTTACATGTTTCATCACACAATTCAAAGCATTTATTGTGATTTAATGTGGTAAATTTCAAGTTAGAGGAAAGATTGCTTCGTTCCCAACAGCATTACGAACACAAATCTGAAAAGTGTGGCATGCATTTGTATTCAACCCTTTTTACCTTTTGAAATCTCTTATTAGTTAACATTGTCCTTGTGTGTAATTTATTCCCAGTTTGGATCTCATTTATAAATGCATCAGAGGATTATAAGAGAACATTTTGTCATCAAGCATCATAATGAAACACATCAAACAGCAGCACAATAAAAACAACTGAAGCTTCAGGTTACAACATAAGGAGAAGTGTGGAAAAGTGAATATTTTTGAAAGTCATCGTACATATAAGAAAATTCAAAAATATGAACACTAAATTTTTTGTTATCATAATTTAGGATAAAACTATATGCAAATTTGATCTGTCTGTAAAACATGTTGAACTTCATTTTATTATTATGCAGCTTGGACGGCTTTGTTTGCTAAAACTCTTTGCTTTTATCACTTAGAAAGAAAGGAAGAAAATGAGCTGTTTATTGAATCCTCTAGTTAAAGTGTGAGGCATGTGAGGAAGACGTGTTGATCAATTTTCAGAAGCAAAATCAAAAACTTAATTAAGTTGAGTCTTTCAGGGGAATTTTAAAGCTTTTGTTTGTTTATTTTTTTACCAAAATGATTTTGGGTTTAAATTGGTGAAGGAGTCCCTGAATGATTTCACTTTTATGTGTAAGTAAAGTCTGGCTTTGAATGGAGAGAAAGTAAAAAACAAATATGAACCAAAGGATGTGGTTCATATTTGACCATATTATTGTATGGTACATTTCAGGCTACTTCCTGTAGCCTGAAATGTACAAATTCAGGGTCGTTTTCAACCCATGTTTGCTCTGTTATGAAATATATAAAGTAAAACATTTGTAGCGAATATGAAGATGTGCAGCCACAACAGAGAGCAGGATGGGCTGGAGTGTGTGACTGAAAGGCAGAGTGAGGAGGAGGAGGAGGAGGAGGAGGAGAAAGGGGGAGGAGGAGGAGCTGACACCTGCTCAGCAGCCACCAGACAGCTGGACTTTAAAATGCTGAATTAATTTCTTTTGTATCCGCCTGATTATCTCCCATCATGGCTTTCTGTGTCAGTGCAAATGGTGCAGCGTTCAGCTCAGTTAGCTTCACTGCTGCCCGTTAAATCAGCAGTCCAGACAAATCTGGAGCAAATAAAGTCTAAATGGAGCGCGCTGCTGTGTTGTTCTAAACACAGAGACGTTTATTTCTTCCCTTAAGATTAGCTGTGATCCCAGCATATAGAGCCCACAGCTAAAAATACATTATGTATGACACAATTTTAAATGATCACAACAGATATGATGTTTGATTAATGTATTCCAGAGATCTTTCCATAAGTATGAACTTCAAACGTACAGCTGGTGGAAGATTTTCCCTCTGGTACTTTGATGTCAGTAAGTGTGTAAAAGCCTGAACGTTTGTGCTCTGACGTTTGTTTAGCTGGTTTAAAACACGAATATGAGCAACTTTAAAACATCATTTGACCAATAGGGCAAGAAATGTACCGATAAAGAGAAACAGAGAGGAAAGTGGAGATGAAGAGCCTTTCAAAATCAAACGTATGAAACTCTTTCAAGCTGAGGTCAAAGTTGAAAAGTGTTTTTTCCTGATTTATGCTTTCATGATATGCAAGGTTGCTTTTTCTTTTGTGTTTGTCATTTTGATTTAAGTTCTCCTTCAATAAAATTGATTGGCATCTTATTGTAGTAAATAATCAACAAATTTACCTTCAAATGCCCTTATTTCGTAAAACTAAAAAACACACAATCAAATTTTGTCAGCTAACTTTGTGCTCTTTAGATATTTTATAAATGTTTCATTTCAACCAAATGACTGATGCTTCCCAATCCATTTCCTTTCTTCCTTTTCTTGAAGCTGCACTTATTTATTTTTCATAGTTTCTGTCACTTTTTCACTCCTCTCAGCTGTTTCCCTTCAGCTAATCAGCCAACCTGTTACCTATCCAGGAAACCCTCCTGATGCTATTTAAACTTCCTGATTTCCACACATTCCTTCTTACATTCTCCTGTTAATTATCCACTTAAATCCGGTCCAACTTGTGTTTCCAGCAGTTGCTTGTGTCTCCTAGGTTTTTGGATCTTCCTGCATATTTGTGAATCTTGCTGGAAGTTTGCCAATGCCTCAGTGAGAGTTTGCCACAGAACACACTGAGAAAACCCAAAGACAATCCATGGTCAATGGAAAAAAAGATAAAGATATAAAGATAAGATATGAACATGACTTCCTGCAAAGCCTGATTTGATTCATCTTTCTGGATAGAGTGGAGTTAAAGGAAACAGTTGAAACTGTTTGGGGTCTGAGGAAAGATTCAGGACTTGTAGTCAGATCAATATCTTCATACATATCCTGTTTGAAGTTCGGCTTTGATGTGACTGAGTTTATCCAGAGAAGACGATCTCAACAGACATCGCTGTTTTGGAAAACCAATCCTGAATAAAAAGTCCAAATGAATTAATTTTGCAGACTTTGTTGCCCATTTTGATGAACTGAATTTAAACCAGTTTATTCTCTGATTTTTGTTCCTTGACCCCTGAATGTGTCTGTTCACTGCTGAACTCAGTGTGAGGGAAGAAATGTGTCCAATTTTCAGACTCCGTTAGCAGTGGAAATGTTTTCAAGCTGTTAAATGAGAAATTAATTGTTAGTAAATTTGTCTGAGTGAAATCCAAATGAAATGACCTCCCACTCACAGCAGCACTGACTCAAACATGCAGTGAAGCTCTGCAGCAGCACAGCATTTTTTCCAGACAAGCCACAGAAACACATAAAAGGCCAAAGAGTGACGGCCATTTCAAAACTTTGTGTTACTATGAAACAGCTGCAAGCCAAGAAACTCAGTCAACAAAGATCTGCTGACTCTGCATATAAAAAGATAAAGTCTAATTTTTATTCAATCTGTCAATAGCGGTTCAGTTTCATATTCATCCATTAATTTTCCATGTTGTTTCTATTCAAGGTCGTGGCAGACTAGCCCATCTATTAGCTGCAGGAGGTGGAGAGTAAATCACCCATTTAATACAGAACCAATACAGGGAAGACAAGAAAATCTATAATACATGCTCAGTCTTTCTTCTGAAGTCTGATTAGAAATGAAAAATCAACTTCTATATATGTTTAAACTGCAGGAGGAGAAAAATCAACCCAGCTTCAAATCCTATTTCACACATAATGTCAGAAAAATGTTTCAGTGAAGTCCTGTTTATTTATACAGATATTTTAATTTAATTTCATGAATTTAAAATATGAAACTCAAAGCTTCATTCACATTGTGATAGTTTTTTTTTATTTGATGATTATGGTTTACAGTTAATAAAAACTCAAAATTGAGTTTCTCAGACAAAATTAAGGCCAAAATAAGAAAATTTAATGCAGAAATGTTTTGTTGCCGCCTCTAGAAAAATGGGGAGAAACTGATTTGATATTTATAAGTGAAACAGTTCTGGATGTTTTCTGTACGGAGGATAAACCAATAAAGATTACTGCCGATCCTCAGAGTTCTGCTTCCAACATGTGTAAGTTAATAGAAAGTTTAGTAGAAGAAAAAAGTTTGATAGAAAAGGGTACTTGCTTTTTCATTCTCTGAATCAAAACACAGAAATAAGAACTATAATCCTACACTGCCACCTGCTGGTCAGCTCGTCTTTACTCGACTTTTCTGTCTGCCACGTCTATTTTTTATGAAGGTAATGTGGCAAATAAACCGATTAATTGTTTATGTTATAGTTCTGTCTTCTGTGAATAAATAACATTAATTTAGATTTATAAATCTAAAGTTTTCTTATTTTTCTTTGTAACTCTGTGGCAAGTCGAAATAAATGTTAAAAATGATGATGATTCAGATTTTTATTGAAAACTGCAGTCCGGTGTTAAACCACTCCATGCAAAAAGGTTTATCTGCCTTTTTAATGTTGTCTTAATAAAGGACATTCACATTCCTATCCGCTTTTAACTCAAGTCATGAATCTTATCTAAACTGAGCTTTAAAATCTAATCCAGCATTTTATAGAGTTATAAATCCTAAATCAGTCCAATAATTTAAATAATACTATCCTGAATAAAAGCTATAAGATTTCCCTTTAAGCTCATAATACTTATGTTAGAGCTTTAATCTGCGGAAACCATACAGCTGGATGAACAGCAGGGGGCAGCATTGTTACGGTTCAATCCTGTGAAAACCTCATTTTTATCAAACTGAAGCAGCTCCTGGTTTTAAGGAATATTAAAACCATGAATAGGGTCAATATTATATAACTGATTAAATTCATAGGTTCTGGACTCTAACACTGGGTTTTAATATCATTGTGTTTTTTTTTTTTTTTTTTTTTTTTTGCCTAATTATATTTGGTTTGCAGACTGTGGTCAGTCTTTCTACTACCTGCAGCATTTAAGAATTTTTCTCTGCTTTTATCACATTTACAAACTGAAACTGAAAGTGGAACAGATTTGTGACAATAAGCTGCTGGATGAGATGAAAAATAAGATTTCAACAGATTGCTAAAAAAAA